TTATAAAGTGAAAAGATCTGTTGCTCTGCTAATTCTCCAATCCTTTTCACATTGATATGAGAAACTGTAATAGCAAAAGTCTTTTTCAGCTGTGGCACTCTGAAGGCTGTTTCCATAGGAATCTTTTCCTGATATCAATGACTTTGCAAGACACACACCACTCTTCTCCTTCCACCACGTCTCCCACTCTGGGTCCTTTCAGTTACCGCTGCCTTCTGCTCCCCACCACACTGTGGACTTGCAGGTCCTCTACCTGGGTAGCAACAGTAGTGCTAGCAGCAGCTGGCACACTTGCTCCCACTCACAGACTCACCTCAGCATTGCTGCTTGCTCTGTCAGCAGATACTTAACACAGGTCTGCATTTTAGCTTGATACTGCGCCTGTGGATTTTCTCTATTATATACGTAATTCTAATCATCATTGTAAGATAAAGACCAACTGCAAATTTTCTTGGAAGGCTGGAAATACCAGTGACAGGAATCATGCAACCACACGTTCCAACAAATGTGGGCTCTTCATACCCACTTCTGCAAAGTGTCATCAATGCATTCAGCAATTCTCTCTTTCATTGACTTTAAAGGCTGTTTGTCAGCACTGCAATGGATGGCCCTTACTACAAATGTCAGCTTTGCAAATATGACAAAAAGCAGAAGTAAGAACCTATTCAACTATAGTGAATTTCGTTAATACAGAAAGGGGAACTACAGGGATAAAGAAGGACAATCTACATAGGTAAATACGTTTATCATAGAAAACCACATTTAATAAGTAGTTCATTTACTAATGACAACTAAAAAAAGGGAGCTTTACCGCTGTAGTGGAAATAACAAACTGTGATTATGGACTAACAAGAAACATTTAATTACTGTAAGTTAAATGTCTCAATAAGAAATTATAACACAGTTCATGATAAAAAAAATATACATCTGCTGTTATTTCTACTGTGTTACCAATAAGAAATGACAAGAAATATTCTTAACAAAGGCAAAGGTCTGTAAAATATGTACTGCAATTTTTATCATGTTCATCATGAAGTCAGACTTCATCAGACTATTAAGGTAAAACAGACACAGAAATAATTGTGTTATATATATAAATTTTAAAATCTGAAATATAGAGAATCTTATTTTTAAAATGGAATTTAGTTTGGAAGCCCCACAGTTGCCACCTCACAGGTTTATTTCTTGCTCTGTTTTACACTGGGATCTTTTGCAATAAGCAACCAGTAGGTGCAGCAGACAACAGAACTTACTACATGATAAGAAGGGCATGTGCTTGACTGTTGGGTTTTTTTCATAATTATGGAATCATGTAGAAGAAATTTCCTTCAAACAAAGGAAGCTCGTGTAAGATGTTACTTGACTAGCTATTGATACTACTGGCATACATAGCAAGTTGATTAAAAGATCAGTATTTCGTAACCATAAAGTTTTAGAGCTCATGCTTCATTTCTCCAGACATTATTTAGCAACTAACTTAATTTAAATCAAATAAAAATTTACTTTCTTTTTTTCAAGCCCACTCTTATGCCTACAAATAGAGTTATATTTGGGTTCCATGGATATTACTGTTACTATAGAAAAAAAAATGTAACTGGTTTTTAGTAAAGCAAAAAAAAGTGTTTTAAAGTTTGCAGGATGCATAACATTGTACTTTCACAGAAAGAGAGGCAATGATGATATTATTAATGTAAATTATTAATATATATTATTAATAAAAACAAATCAACATTACTGTTAGTAAATATTGATTATGCAAATATCCTAACTTGTTTAACTTTCTTTTTAAGCTTCTTTGCTGAAATACTGACATCCTTTTATTCAAATGAACTGTTTAGTTCTAATGTGGATTAAAATGTTTGTGTAAATGCAACATATTTATACACGTAGCAATGGGAAATAGTAGTATTTGGGTAAGTTTCTATGGCAAAATACGCTCAGTCAACTGTTTGCAAAAAATATAGGAAAATTCTAAAGTATAGTATAATATCATACATTTTTTATCGTCCAATTATTTCCCTGAAAGTCAGTTTCATATAAATGGTACTCAACACACACAGGAAAAGGTGGGGAACTGCAAACAAAACAATTTCAATGTAGGTATGCCTATATAATACTTTGTAGGCAGATCAAACTCCTTGCTCCTGGGTTTAAAGCATGCACACACTTATTTGCCCATATTTTGAGCTGACTGGGAGCTGTGTAACTGCATTAATTCTTGAGCTAATATACTGTGGCTCTCAGCTGGGCTAATTAGCTTGGGTTCAACCCCATGTTATAGTTTCAGATTGGCTTGGAAAGTAATCAAAGCAAGCTCACATCTGTCTACATAAGACTATGTGTATATACCTGGTACCAGTAACAACAAATAATGCATACTAATTCAGAGTTCGATATCCATTTCTTCCTCTTTTATTTTCTTTATTAATGTAACAATTTATGGAAAAAATAAATACTTGAATAGCAAGTTAATTCACTAAAAAGACAAAACATGCTGACTTCATCATAGGCCATGCTATTATATACACACCAGATATCCCAGTACATTCATGACACTACCGTTCGTAAGTTTTACTTTTTGAAATGTCAAAGAATGCTAGCAATTGGAATGGGCACAACCTTACATATTTTTTATATATATATATATATATATATATATGTACATAAAATCTGTGGAATAAGAAGGGCAAATTTTGCAACCAATAAAGTATTCATAGGCTTGAAGGCCAGAAAGGATCACTGTGTTATCTGCTACATTGTGCAATGATGATTGATCATCACCCTGTTTAATGCATGATGTGGCTCAGAGTCATCACTACACCTCATTATGCATGGCAGGAAGGGGAGGAGACTGTAGCAAACTTTAGCAGATCATCTCTACAACTTATTGGGCTTTAGTTAATACATGACTCTACAATAAGTCCAACTCATCAACCTTCTCTTTTCACTTGCTATGCCCCCTGCTCACAAATTACATTTTTTCCTTAACTCACTCAAAACTGTTGACTTTTTCTGCCTGTTTCTACAGAGACATGAATGGACCTTGCTCAGTAATGCTACTAACAATCCTTTGAAGACAGCACGACACAGCTGTAGTCAGATCAGAAGACCAGGCATATACAGAGCAAAATGTCAGACACACAGCATCAAATCAGTAAATGCTGCACTGAAATAATTTGCCTTGTATCTTAGCAAGACATCAAATTCTATGACTATGTGCAATTGTGGAATACAGACTTTGATTGCAATAAATAGTTTACTTCATATATATCTTCACTGGTTTTCAGGCTGTCTGTAGGTGTTGCATTGATTTACGCTCATTCATGTTTTGAAACACTACCTGCAAAAGAAGATGGCTCTTGGAGCACAGTTCTGTGATAAAGGAAAAATTCTGTGGGCTCTGAGTCCCTGTATTCACAAACCATCTCAGCAATCAAAACCAAGCATGTTTTTGTTCCGCAAAACACTGCTAGCTAAATTCCAATTCTGTAAAATTAGAAAGTCAAATTCATCAGAATACAATAGTTACTGCTGCCCTCTACCAGCAGTCCTCCAGGCAGATGACTGAAATAAGGCACTACTTGCCATTCCTTAAAAATGTGTTGCAGCTTGCTGAGATGATATCATCAGAAGTGAACTAAGTTTACTAAAATCTTTTTAGAACACAGGCCACTCAGTGTCTCTAACTAGACAATTTTTGTGCTCCAGGTAAATTATTAATGTTTATTCATTTGTTTACACAAATTGTTCTGTTCAAAACAAGAATTCCCAATTTTCTGCAGTTTAAAACAATATAAAAACACTGCACAGATTATCCTTAATATTCTAAATCTACATCTGGACGAATCAATTATTGTGAGCTACTTTCAGTTATTAACTAACTAGCTCTTCTGTCTAAAAGCCACTCAGAAAACTTTTAATGGCATTTTTTTACTAATATTTTACTATGCTGGTTTTTTTTGCAAATAAAATTACTTAAGTTTTATTTACAAACTGAGTTTTTATAACTGATATCCAGCTAATTAAACTATATTTCTATTTATTGGATAGATCACAAATGATTCCCAAACACAGGGAAAGATTAAATATTGTGTCACTAAGTGTCATGGTATTTGTCCTGCATTCTTTAGGATTAACAATTCTTAGACACAGTTTATAATTAACAGCCTATGAAAAGCAAGCACTTCGTTCACATTAGCATACCCTGATTGCAGGTTAATTCCTAATTCACATGAAGAACAACCAGTCACCAACCATTTATGGATAAAACTTTTTTTTTTTTTTTTTACAAAAGTTCACAAAATGGGACTAAAACCAGGCAAACCCATGAGCTTTACCAATCATATCAATTTTGTACAAGATACATCTACTGCCATACTCACCTGTCTGTAAAGCAGCTTATATAAGAAAGCTTGAAAAAAATTATCACTTTAATCAATACAAAACCAATTAATCAGTAAATATTTAAAATTTATGAGGTATTTCTGTGTGAAAACAATCATGCTAAATAAGCTGATTCAGGCAGTTCTAGGAAAAGCTTTAGCTGAAAACCTGCATTTACAGTCTGTCCTAAAAACAAGCAGAACACAGCTCCAATTCAAGCATTAACTCAATTAAAAAAAGGGAAAAAAAAAAATGAAATCACTTCTCAGCTTAATAACTTGTTAGTTCTTGACAAGTGCAACAACACAACAATAAGCCAGTCAAAATGAGTTTTTAAAGCGAGGTTATGCCCTTCGTGTTGTGTTATCACAGTGGCAGATCAAACTGCTGACTTGGACTCTTTCTGCCAGCAGTGCTGATGCTGCCTCTATGAAGCTGCTGTCACGGAATAGTCATGGTACCTGCTCTTGCCTATAGAAAAGCACTAAATTGAACTCGAAGTAGTGTCTTTGTGATATCTTTTCAACAAGTCATGTCCCATTCTGCCTGCTAGTTTATCTCTGTCAGGCTGGGGGCCCAAGTGGTTTGCATGAGCTGTCAGGGACAGGTATACCAACCTGCTCAGTGCTAAGGAGGTAATGCATCTTTCGGGCTTGGTATTTCTTTTCCTTTTCTTTCTTTTCTAGGTCTTTCCTTTTCTCTTCATTTTCCTTCATTTCTGTGTACTCTTGGAGTTCACTCCTATAATAAAATAAGTCAGCTAATTATACGACAAGAATAAGAGACATGCTCATGTTTTATTTTACTTTAACCCTTTAATAGCTTGACAGTGTTCTGCTATTATGTATTAGCAGTATGCTGACACCACTGGAATGCAAAATTACAGTTCATACAGTTCCACAGCAGCAGGATTCTACATGGATATAACTGTAAAGAAATAGGATTAAAATGATAAAAACTATGAACTGCATATTAGTTCATATTGCTTACTCTTTTGAAGAATGTCAACATTTGTATTTTTACAGCTTGATAAAACAGCATTCATAGATGTCTTTTTTTTTGTCTTTAAGAGTAATTTTAATTTGAATTTCTCTAAGCAGAAATTATAATTCAGATATTTTCCTTCAAATGGTTTAAAAATAAAAGTTGTTCACCTATGTTTCAGCTAGTGCCTTGCAATACCTCCTTCTGAACTGCAAACAGGGGAGACCTTATGGAATGAGAGAGGATAGTAGACCCAGGATAAGAGTTGACATTCACTCCTAGATCCTTGAGCCTTTTGTAAGTTTGAGAATATAGGCATAGAGAAGAACTGGATGTAAACCTTTCATGCATGCAGTGTCCTTAAGAGGACTTTCCACAGCATTAAGCTTCTTGCACAAGTCACTTTCTACTCTGGTCTGATAGCAATGGTACAGGCCACCACAAGAAACGAGAACGTAACTGCTTCATGAGCTGCTACACAACAAAGGTTTGCAAACACATAGTGACATCTAAATGGGTGGCTCTGTGTATTCAATAGGTCATAGAAAATTCTTTCATCGTAAAAGAAATAAGGAACTGTACCCAAGAGCAGCTTTCGAAGAGTGGAGAAAACTCATGATTTTAACTAAATGTTTAGAGGAAAACATTAATAGAAAATGGGCATAGATTTCCTCCTCAATGGCTTTTTTTCATAGAGCCAGTCTTGACATAAATTATGCAAACAGTGGAGTGAATTAATGTTCTATAAGAAATGAAATTCCATGCTATTGTGTACAGTGCATGTGTACGATTTTTTTTTGACCCAGTTAAAAAAGGTTAGTTTGATTAACATTTGTTATTTTGTTATTAAGAAATGGCTAGTTCAAATTAACCTGTGTGCCAAAGACACCAAGCATATTCAGTCAAGCATTTAGATTGTTTAAAAGTTAATTAAGTAAATTCTAGTCTTTATTTTTTTAAGCATGTGTGTATATGATAAAATAAAAAGCAGAGAAAAATACACTATTCACATATCTGGATAATTCAAATATTCCCGCAAAATAGATTCTTTAGAGAGAGACACATTAATAGTCTCAGCTGTTCCAATGATTACCTAATAACACATTACAGGACAAGGGTCAAATCCTGTCAAAATATGCACATGAAAATGTTTGCTGATATAAATAATCCCATGGGAAAGACATATTAGTTCTGAAAGTGTTTTTAAGATTGTGACTCAGACTTATTCTTAGTATTTTAATTATCATAATTTTAAATTAGTTCATAAAAATATGAGAGCAATAATTGCTTTATGAATATGGACACTGTGAAATCACATTCTTAAATACAAATTGCAATGTAGAATTTTTTTGTTTCATTCTATCTTTCAAGTTTTTATCAACTAAAATAAGTAAAATATTAAGTAATTAAACATGTTCTATTTCAAATGTAAAAGAAAAAGTAGAGTGAAAAGGAAATAAATTAAATATTGGAAAAGATGTATAGGTCTGTTTCAATCTCTGGAAATATTTTTTGTTGCAGTTTACTGTTAAAGGCTGTTAATACAATATTTCATACAAGGTTACTTATGAAGCACACTGACGTTTAAAAATCACCATGCTATGCTTTTGCAGCAGTGTAATTTTTTTCCAACATAAGATTAAATTGCAAAATAAATGAATTACTTAGAGTGGCATGGCCCCCATTTTGCCACCCTTCTCTTGAAAATTGCTTATTAATATGAAAAAAGAAGTTGGAAAATAGCCTGTTTTACTTTATGCATAGTGTTTCAGGGCCTCAAAGCCTGCAGAGCTGGACTAGCTGCACATTTTAGATTGCGTTGGCAAGCAGGGACGATGACCTTTCTGACCTGCATCTCAAGGCTATTATTAATCGCTAAGTAACCTGGTAAAGCCAAACAAATTTGTTTCCATTGAAAGGATCTCTATCTGTGTCTGAGAATTTGTGCTGTACCAAACAAACCTCATTAACTGTGTCCACTTTTGACAAAGAACTAGGAGTTGGAGAGATTGGTGACCTTTCTTTGTCCTTAAGGTACAGATTTCAGAGTCACTGTATGTAGGTACATAAACATTCTTACTTGGAAACTCTGTTCTATATCAATCAATCATAAACAAGTGAAGAAATAGACAATGCATATAGTATCAACTTTGTTCTTTTATTTTATGCCACTTTACCTTCAATATCAGAGTGTATGATCCATGTTTTACATATTTAATACTATTTTTTGTTTCTTTTTCATTACAGAGTCCTCTATTCAGCTTTAGTACTGCTATCTGAAACTGATGAAACATCTATCAACATATTACTACAGTTTATTCATGTTCTTATACACTCATGTACTTCTTCCCAACAGTGAATAAGGAAGCTTTGTTATTTAGAACACATTTGTGATGAAAATCCCCAAATAATGATAAAAATATACATTTGTATTACAGATGTAATGATAATGAATGCAAAATGTTTCCCACTGTCATTAATCTGAATTTATCAGATTGCTTTGAATGAATGATTAATAATCATTATCTGCTGATATTAAATGAAGTCTAAAATACTTCTTGAAGTTCAGTGTAATTCATGATCTTTTTAGACAGTACAACCATCCAAATCATCATGATCCTCCCTGATTATCACATGTCCTCATTAATGCTGTACCATAATCCATTCAAGAGTTTGAGGGTTTTTAAGCAGTTACAAATAATTTTCGGCATACTTTTGAAGCCTACACCTTCTTTTTTCAGTTGTGCTAAAATATTTCGATCGTGTATTATACTGCTCTGTACAGTTGTACAGAACATGCAGACAATTCTGTCTCAGGGATAACAGCTCCCAAGATGATTCTCTCCTGAGAGGCAGCACAAAATAAGGCATATGTAGTAGTCCAAACATTGCTTGACTGGGAAGCGTAGATGTTTTAGCACAAATATAGATTCTAAAGATATTTGCGCCTGAAACTATCATCTCTTTACCATACTTTCAAGAATTTGAATAGAGGCAACAAACCCAGAGAATCTAAAAGTAGTTTGATATGAATATACTATTTCACACATTAGCAGATTAATACTAACAGGTTATGCACTGTGCAGGGTGTTTCACAGTTACCATGCAGAAAAATGTGCATAAGCATAAGTGACACTTTAGACATAGACTTTCAAAGAGAGTTAGACTTCCCGACAGCTTAGACGTAAATGTGTTTATTGAGAAGTTTCATGCTCATGACCTTCTATGTGTAAGCCTGCCCAGAGAAAATAAATCCAAATTCCATTAAAGTGAGTTGAAAACTCATTGAAATTAAATGATCTCTAGATTAAACCCTTACACTTACAGCCAGTCTTCTCTTTGTTCATATGTATCCTAGGATCATTGAGCAATAGTAAGCAATCTTTTCTTGGGACTATGTGATATTATGAATACCAGCTACGATGCCTGATTCTCTGTGGACTCTGGACCAAATTTGCTTCAGGATGAACTTTTCATAGTTCAGTGTGAAGTGGGAGAACCGAATATGGGCAAATATTTTCGCCTGCATGTTTAAATCTTCACCAAATTTTGGGGAAGAAAAAGAGTTCTGTAAATGCAAAACATGCTTTAGGTTAATTAATAATCTTGTTCTATTTTTATAAATGCTCTGTCTGTTTCATGCCTCATAGCTGGAATAATACTTCTTATTAAACTGTTATAACTGAAAAAGAGGATTTTTTTTTAAGCACATAAACTTTTCATTATCTTAAAGCTTATCTCGATATATGAAGACTATCTACTGCATCTTCTACAAATCTAGCTTCCCATATAAACTTAGTCCAATCAGAGTTTCTCCCACACAGATTTTTATGGAACACTTTTGTAGAGGAAGTATGTGTAAGTTTTGACAAATATAGTATCTTATCATGATCCGAAAATTGTTCAACAAATCAGAAGAATATCAATGTTTATTAGTGTAAGCTTAGGATGAATTCTTTTGTTGAAAAAGTGAATATACTGGGTAACGTAAAACGGTGTTTTCCTAGTGATAGGGAATGTTTCGTGCAAGTGAAAACAGGCATAGGATTAACAATGTATGTGCTCCAAGCCCACAATTAAAAATTATCTTGTGTAACACATCTGTGAAGTAGCTATTGATTTGCTAATGATAAAATTATTTGCTTTATATAGTTTCAAAATAAAACATTTTCATATGACAAGGTAACTTATTGTTATTCTGATACTTCATTATGCATTAGGCAGTGGTGTTAGTTCCAGCTATGAGATGCAAATTCGGTTGACAGTGTTCCTGCTGTCTGTATAAAGGTTAAAAATACACATATAATATTGTTCCTGGCACTTTCAGAAAGGTCTTCAAGTGATGATTTCAGCAATATACAGATTTTCATAATTCTGCATAGAACTGCATCATTTTACAAATTCACACTGACATAAATTTATTGAACTTTATCAAACTATTGCATTCTTTTTGCATTTTCACTGGCATTCTGTGGTCCTTTGACCAGATAACCATAAAATTATAATATTAACTAAAGTAAAGGGCATCTGAGAAAATCAATAATTAGTAGAGTTGCCTAGAGTACCCAGAAAGATTATAAAGTTATCATGATTTTAAACAGTTCAGACCCCAAATCATAAAATTCCTGCAACACAGGCAGTAGGCAACCTTAGCATAAAAGCAGATAACCTAAATCAATTTTACCTTCCTCACTATATATCATCCCCCCTGCTCAAATAGAGAATATGGAAGTAAAAATGAAATTAGTGGGACAATA